CCCCGATTGAAACTAGATGATCTGGACATTCTCTCGCTCTCTCTCATTTCAATCTTAAGCTTGATCTGGGCATTTTGACGGTCAACGATTATTAAGGGCTTCGCACGGCATCGCAGACGATGACAAGGGATTCACACAACATTGCAGATGGAAATCATCGCTTGTGCATGGGTTTCCATCGGGGAGGCTATACGAGTGCTATTGGACGCCGGGATAGGCGGCTCTATAAGGTTCCAATCAGGGGAGCTGCGATGGTAGGGGGCCCGCGATTGTGAGAGGTCGCGACGATGAGGGGCCATGACGGTGGGGCTGCGACATCGGGTGTCTGTGACGGTGGATGCCTTTTCCAGTGGTGAGGAGATGATGGACAGTAGTGTGTTGAGGAGATTCTCAATCTCATGCTTTGAGATTTCTAGGAATGTGAATAAGATTACCCCATTTTGGGATAAAAATGAATCCCATGAAATTTATATTGCTTGAAATATGAAAATCTCAATTCTTGTACCAAACATGAAAATTTTAGAATATTCTCATTCCCACCTAAAGATTACCGCATACTAAATGCTCCCATAAGGTTTTGAACTTTTCTCGTGTGCGCCGCTCCATTTGGGCCGGAGTCCGTCGCCTCTGCTCGGTTGGCCTTCAGACCTCCAGCCCTAGAGATGGTGCTCTACGTCTCTCGACGATGACTCAGGTGGTGATTGCCTCTTACTCACGGTGGTGGAGACAGAGTTTCAACATGGTAGTGTGGTGCCTTCAAAGGTCTGGATGCCTCCCATTGCCTCGTCGGCGCTCTGGAGGTACTGCTACGTTGATGTAGGATTGTGTGGGTGTAGTATGCGTGGTGGTTTGCTCAGATCTGGTGGCGGAGGTTTGGCCGTTCCCACCAGTGTGTGGATTTCATATGGCTTGTGGTGCGGGGGTCTCTCTCATAGTGTTGCAATGCTTATTCCGGTGGTCATGTTGAGCTTGGGGACAATGGTGCTTGTGTGTGGTTTCTACATGGTGGCATTGTGTCTTTTCCACTATGGTGATTCCACCCTCTTGCAGTCCTACTCCTTGCCTTTGCCATGATGGTCGGTGGGTTGTTGATGGGTTTCCTCATGAAGCCGAGGCCTCTCGCCTACTTCGAAGAATTTTGTGTTTTTTAATTATGGTGTTGCTATATTCGCCTATTTGGTGTTATTTTTATTTTGTTTTGCTTTTACGGAAGTGGTCTCCCACTTTCCACGTGGGCTTTATGTCTAGTCTATAAATTTGTTTTTACGATGTTTTGGTCAGCCTTATTGCTTTTAGTCTCTCGATCTCGATCAAAGTTATCATCAATTATTTGCAGTGTTTGTGGTGTATTTGAAAGAGCTTAATTTGTACTCGATTAGTTATGTGCCTATTTGGTTTCCCTTTGTTAGAACTTGGTACATGTGCTACCCCTGATCCTTTCAATCGAATCTCTATGGTCAGGGTTAAGTCACTAAATGCATTCAAGTCTTCCGCGTCTAGATTGGTGATTGTAATTTTCTGATTTGGAATGCAATTCCCATCTTCAAAAAAAAAAAAAAAATCAACTCCTATTTATTTGCCTTCTTTGATGGAAAGAGGGAGTCATTAGAAAAATATACGTGAAAATTATCAGGGTAATAGGGTCCCTGGTCTATAAGAGAGTGTGAGATTCTATCTTTACATGGATATTAGGTTTTGTATAGACTAGCCAAACTATCTCTAAAATAGTTCTGAAAGGCTATTGAGCCTAATTGCTCTGGCTAGAGGTACGATCTATTGCTTCCGGGTTTGTTTGTAATTAGAAAGGGCCCGTTTGATAATATTTTCGAAATGATTTTGTTTTGAGTACAAAAATGAAAATGAGATTATCTTGAAAATCATTATGAGACCGATTCTAAAATTGCGTTGGGTTGATCTTTTAAAGATTTTTTTAAGTATAGTAAAAAAGTAAAATCGTATTTAGTTATATTTATAAAATTTTGTTTC